CATACTCAAAGCCTTCAGCCCACCGAGACCAAGTGCAACAAGGTCTTGATGCAAAATTAGTCACATACACACCACCCCCACCAAGCACTCAAAGATAAAGTTTTCTTTTTTCCATGGCTTATTTCCTCTCTCCTCATGGCAGTTAAAATTTTTATACTTAAGTTAGTAGTATGACATGGAAGGAATGACCAGGGTAAGCGTAGGGATAGCATGGCAGGTTTACCTTCAAGACCAAAACCCTTCTGCATCCACAGCAGCACAGTTACAGCCCTAAGGCTACCATGTTTTCCGTCCGCACAATATGGATCTTCTACTTGGAGTTATTTATCATCTAAACTACTGGTTCTCAATTGGGGTCATTTTGTGAACCATGCCCCAACGTCCCCCCTGGATATCAGGCAACCAATGGAAACATTTTAGTTGATCTAGCAGGAGGTATTCCTGGCCTCCAGTGAGTAGAGGCCAAGGATGCTGCTGGAGGTTCAAGGACAGCCACTCACAGCAGAGGGTCAGGGGAGAAGGGCGGGGCAGGTCTCAATGGTCTCCTATAACCAAGCACCCAACTTCATTTCAAGAACACCAGGGCACGGTGCCATCAAGTGCAAACTGGGGGAGCCCCTACAGACATCCACATGTATTTTTTTTTTCATAAAAAGATTCCTATTTCTCTTTTTTTAAAAAATGAACACCTCTCACCCTCTCCCTTGATGCTGGCCTCAGAGCCCTTAACAGCCAAACACCAAGGCAAGGTGGATTCCGGCCAGGCTGTCACCCTCTGCAGAAAGGAGGCCAGGGGCTGGGCGAGCTTTCAGAAAAGCAGGAAGCTTGAAGAGATGAATGAACCTTCACTCTGTCACCAGAGATTTTCACTACAAACTTGTGACAGAGAGGGGGCTGGCGCGGGAGGCTGACATGAAGGGAAATAGATATTAAGGGGGCCGGGAGGACAAAACCGCTAAACTAAAAGGAAACGCCAACACAGAAAAGAGCAAGAGTGAAATATATCCACTGCCATCTGTGTCCTGAGATCCAATGGTACCAGGGGAGGACACCAGAGGCCACATACAATGGCACAAAGTGGCCACAAAGTGGAAGAGCTCCCAGCACACACCTCACACAGGAGGCCCCGCAGACCTTCCAAGCCTCCAGGCTCCCACCTCCACCTCAAAGACCCTGCAAAGGGCACGAGGCCACACCCTTTTTCTCAGCCTTTGTTCACCCTGTTCCTTCTAAAGGACATCCCCACACACCCCACCCTCCAGCCCCCGGCCTCCTCCCCAGGGCCATTCTAGAAGGCATCCCTGGTTTCTGTGCCATCTTGGCACCACCGCCCTGCATGTCAACTGCCCACAGTGTGTCTGTGGGCCTGCTGGGCAGAGGTCCCCCTGAGGGCAGGGTCTGTGGCTTTTCACCAAGCCTCCTCTGGACTGGCAGGGGCTAGTGCAGAGCAGGCACAGGGAACATTGCAGAAAGAGTGTTTCTTTCTAGTTTTAAGTGACAGTCCACCTCGTCCCACCTTGCTGCCATCGTCAGGTGACTCTTTCAGGGCAGGGGTCCACAACACGTTCCACCAATTCTATTTACCATTACTCCACTCCTAGGTGAGCTGGATTTGACATTAATGATTTGCAAATAATATAACCCCAAGACCTAAGCTGGCACCTGACATAACTGACAGTTTCTTAAAAGGCGATCATCTTAACAGAACCAGAAAGTTCTTCTACCTGTGCACATGTGGGTGTGCAGGTGTGGTATATACTGGTCTGCACATTGTGCATAATGCATTCAGACTGTCTTTATCTTCCCCAGCACATTCAAGTACAAAAAGTCAAATTAAAGACATGGCTATCAAGTGGGTTGCTCAATTTGCTGGCTGCTTTAAAACATATCCTTGGGCAGATTTGAGAATGCAGCAGGGAGCCCATGTGCACATACACACACAGAAACACAAAGACAACTGGATGTCATATATGTTCCATTTCTTTAATCGCAGGAAGAGTAATCATCTTTTCCAAACTGTCTTAGCATCCCTCTTCCCTTTAAATCTGACCCTTTCCTATCTTGGGTTGCTTTTTAACTAGGGAAATATGCAACCTCTATTCATTTGGCTTATATGTGGAGCAAATATCTAGTTCATGTAAGATTTCATGCCTGGAAACTTTCCTGTTTTGATTAAGAAAGCATCCTGTAACAGACTTCTTTGCTCATAGTGATAAAGTTTATCCAAGAGACTGATACCTAAAAGGAACCTAAATTTGGCAGTGGTACTAAATTTAATTCACTGATCTCTGCTGACATATATACAGGGCAGTAGGAAATTCTCACTCCTGAGAGAAAATGCTCAAACTATTCCACTGAGTGCTGACGCGACCCCCAGCTCACTTGATCACAAACAAGGTCTTCCACAGTTACCTCCACTTTATATAGCAAGCAAAGATGTTGACTGGTGTGGCAATCTCTCTGGCTGAGTTCACCTGCATTTATTGCTTCTTCTAGAGGGGAAGAAGCGAGCATGAGATGCACACATGCATGAATGGACACACGGATGACAGATGAAGGCCGAGGCCATAGGGGGTTAAGTGACTTCAGTCACTAGTAGGCAAAGTGGACAGAGACAGGGAGTGACCCATAGCTTCTCATCTATAAGATGGGGCAATAACTGTTAAAAACAAAACTCAGAAACTGTCATGTTATCAAAATAAAAATAATAAGAGCTACTTTATTCAGTTGTACAGCATGTGATGAAAACATATAGTAAACACCTTGAAAATGGAAGCTGCTCAGTAGGTATTGAATATTTGTCCCAAGAACCACAGAACCACACTGAAACTGCCTGTGCAGAAAGGGAATAAGAGCTCAGAGGATGGGGACCATAGCTCAATGGTAGAGCAACTGCCCAGCATGCCCAAGGCCCAGGCTCCATCCCCAGCACTGCAACAACAACAACAAAACCCAAAAGAAGACGGCACCTCTAGTGCCCACTTACTACAGAAGTTGGAGCCCCTGCCCTTGAAATGAGCTGGACAACCCAGAAACACTTCCTCCTGGAAATAACACTATGTTAAGAAACTCACAGAACCTCTTTAATTATTAAAGGTCTGCTGAAAAATAATTGCTCAAACACCACAAAACCATTTTTTTGTCATTATCATCATCAACTGGCAACACATAGGTTAGTCCCTCTTAGTTCAGCCAATCACAGACCTTCCACACTATAGCCCCGCCTCAGGAGTTACTGCGCTGGATGCCCCTTTACACTCAGCGTTGGCATCAGAGAGCCCCACTCAGATGGGGCCATCGCTAGGCCCTTCTTGCAGGCCCTGCTGAGGGTGGTGTGCTGCCTTCTAGAACACTCTCCTCTCTCTCTAGGTATCCCCAGGTCTTCCTCACCACCTCCATGGAAGCTTTTTTTAATCTCCATTTAACTTCTATGGCCCATTTCAACTATCCACCCAAATTCAGTGCAAGTGCCCTCAGTAAACTCCTTGCTAGGGACATAATAAGTGCTCAGTGAAACCCTTCTTTCATCTACCAACGACAAGCACCAAACTGAGGGAAATGGCCCAGTGGATTCAATCCAAAGTACACTTGTATTAATTACCAAGCTACTTAAGGAAGGAATGTTTTCTGATCTTAATTATTGGATTATTATTTTAATTGTCAGTTCTCAACTAAATACTCTACCATATCCTTGCAAAAACGCTGTAAGATTAAAATACTCTTCGAGGTTAGTCTCCAACACCACCCAGAAAGGGATCACTGAAGCAATTTATGCATAATAACTCCTCTCTTGCAAGTCTTGAGTTTCTACGAGTGCCCCAGATATTTCTGGTCTGAAATATCTGAATAACTACTTCAATCCTCCACACCTACTCCCTTGATAGAGATACCCAGAGCAATATATAAGGGGTTAAAATGTTTCCAAACAGTGTGATTCTTGATCATTGAGAAGCAACCAACAAGAAAAGGGGGGAGAGGGGATAAGGAAAAAAAAAATTTTAAAGAAACTCTTACCACCAAAAGAATATACACGGTTTCCGTGGTGGGTGGTGGTGTCTATTTTAAATTTACAATTCATTTTCTAAGGCCGGCTTCAAGAACCCCCAAATTGAGGAACATGCATAAAAGCCTGGCAGAACCCCTTGGAGAGCTCCCGGGGCCCCTCCCTTCCAGCCAGCGTTCTTAAAACACATTTCTTTTTCCTGCCTGCAAGAACAGCTTTCGCGCAGAATAATTCCATTTAAAAAGCCCCCACCCGCGAGGAAACATTAATCTACTTTGCAAACATGCGTTCCAGTCTGTGCTTTACTATTTTTTTCAACTCCTTCCCCCCCACACCCACCCCCCCTTTTTTTGTACCTTGAGACAAATGTTTTTTTCCCCCAGAGTTGAAAGCTGTCCAAAAACAGGACCACACACGCCGCCGCCTCCGCAGGCCCGCGCTGCGCCCGCCCCCCGCCCTCCCCAGCGCGGCGGCCGCGGCCGCCGGGGCCGCGCACACTCCCAGCAGCCGGAGGGGTGGCCTCTCTCTCCACCCCCCGCTCCTTTCTCTTTGGACGCGGTGGGTGGGGGTGGGGGAGGGAAGGAAGCCGAGCGGGGGAGCCGAGACCGCGGAGGCCTGCCCCTGGCCGCGTCTCGGGGCGAGGCGGCGGCGGGCGGCCGCGGTGGCCAGCCCCGGACCCCCGGCCGTGCCGAGTGGTCCGCCCCGCGGAGGGGCCCGCGCCCCCGCCGGCCCGCCCTCGCCACTGTCTCCCACAACACCTAGCAGAGCGCAGCGCCCCGAGTAGATTACAGCGCGGCCTTTGTCGGCGGGCCTGGCTCCTGGCCAGGCGCCCAAACAATAAACAATTCCCCCTGGTGCGGGCAGGGGGTTTTCGCTGGCCACAGCCAGGCTCTAGGTGTGTGCTGGCAAATATCTTCATCAGTTGGAGGGAAGGGAAAGGAAGGGACGGGGCCCGGGGAGGGCGCGACGGGCGCCGCGGCGTGCGCTGCTCTCTTACCTTCCACCCACAGCTCCTCCACGTTGGTCTCGAGATTAGCTGCCTTTAATCCCACAGCGAAGGCCCCGAATATGAGGAGGCCCACAACCAAGAACTTGCCGCAGTTTTTTTGAATGTAACAACCCAGTTTAAATAAGAGTCTCTGAAACTTCGCTCTCAGCCACAGCGGCGCTTTCCGGCCAGTAGCCTTCCCCTGGGAATGAAGCAGAAGGGAGGAGTGAAGGCCGGGTAGTCACGGTCCGCGCGCCCACGCCCGCTCGCGCGTACCCGCCTGAGAATCCCCCGACAGCCGTGGGGGGCCCCGCGCAAATGGGGCGCAGGGACTCGCCCTACGGGCTGGAACCCAGGCTGGAGGGAACGCGAGAGGCGTGTGTGTGTGTGTGTGTGTTGGGGGGGGGGCGGGTCATAAATCAAAGTCAGGCTGCAGCGTGGGAGATGCACCTTGGGGACTGCAGGGGCGCCCCCACGCGTGGCCTGCACAGCATCCTTGAGTGTGACTTGGGGAGCTGGGGATAGGGCGGACGACACAGAAGGGCAAGCCAAAGCAGAGAGACGACCACTCTGCACCGGCGATTTTCACCCCGGACCCGGGAAGGGAGGGGCTGCGTAATCCCAGCGACCGAGCCCAGCACTTAAGCAGTAAACCACGTCCCGCTTTCCCATAAATCCTGCACCACCCATCACCCTTCTCTGGGTGCTCCGGAGAGGACCGGTGCAGGGGCCGAACGCTCTTTTGGAACAATATATTTCGAGTTTCCCCGTCTGGAGTGGCATTTAGTGGGCATCCACGTGGTGAGCGCGGCCGCGGGTGCTCACTCCCAACGCTTCCATAGCTTTGGAAGACGCCGTGTGAGCCGAATTAGGAAGTGGGGCAGCCATCTGCAACTTACGACAATATTTGTGATCGGAAGAGGGCAGCCACATGGATCTTTCCCTCCTCTCCCTTCCCTTCGGGTTAAACGTAACAAAACAGCCGACTGCACGGGGGAAGGGCCCAGGCCGGCGCAGGAGGGGGTCCTGGCTGGGCACAGGCTGCTCCCGGCGGCGGCGCTGCCCCGGTGCTGGCCGCGGCCCCGGTGGGCCCCCGTCTGGGTGCTCGCCTTCCCCGGATTCCACACATTTCAGCAAGCCTCGTAAACACAATGAACCCGACCGCTCGGCAGACCCGCACCGCGGATTTAAGGTGGCAATTTGTTTACAACTTTCCCTCTCCCCATCAGGTTCTGAGAAGAAGCGGCTCAAAAAATGTGAAAGAAGAGGGGGGATGTCCTCTTCCGAGGATAATTTTTAAGGGAGCAGAGATTTCATGCTCAACAAAAGTAAAACCGGCTGCCAAAAAAGGAAACCACCTTTATTTCGGCTCCCTCCCCCCTTCCTCTCTCCGCCTCTCTCCACTCCGCCTCCCCCTCCAAGATGTTAAGAAATGTGGCAGCGTTACAGGGGTTTAGCTGCAAATAGGGGCAGGGGCGCAGAAGGAGGGAGCTCCTAGCAAGGGGCACGGGGCAGGGCAGTGCTGCGGCCGCCCTCGAGGTGGTCCACTGTGGACAGCTTTCCAATGCTCCGGAAAAGGCACGCCAGGGAGGGCGTGCACACACACACACACACACACACACACACACACCTCCACCCCCTGCGGACCTCAGACAGCCCTTTCCTCCCAGGACCGGAGGGAGGGTTTGAATTTTTCAATCCCCACTTGTCTGCCTCTTTTCCTGGAGGGGTGTGTGGGTGTGTGTATGTGTGTGTGTGTGGTGGGGCTATCCCAAAGAGGAAGAGGAGGGAGGAAAGAGTGGGAGGAGAAGAGAGGAAAGAGTCTGAAATGCACCTTGGAAATCTGCTCCAGAGCGAAGGCGGCGTCGCAGTAGCTGGGCCGGTGCAGATAGTCCCGGTCCGGCGCGGCCGCGCGGCGCAGCCCCCCGGTCCGTCTGCGCCTCCCGCCACCGGCCGTCCGGCCCAGGGCCCCGCTGCAGCCGCCGCCGCCGTCCTGGGGCTCGGCGGTGTTAACAGCCGAGGCCATGTTGCCGTTGCCGCCGCCGCCACGGGGACCGAGGCTTCCCGGGCGGCCCGGCACGCTGCTGCTGCCGCCGCTGCGAACTCCCGGCGCGCCTGGGCACTCGGCTCGCGAGGACGCTGCTGGCCGCCGGCTGCTCGGGCTCGGGCTCCGGTTGACAGACCTGCTGCTGCTGCTGCCGCTGCTCCTGCTCACACGGCGGGCGCTGCAGGCGCTGCGGCCGCGGCCGCTGCCGGGGAGTCAGACCCTGCGCCTTCCATTGCCACATTGCGCGGGGGTCCCGAGGTCTCTGCGGCCGCTGCTGCCCACATCCAGTTCGCGGGAGGGCGAGAGCCGGCGCGCGGAGCGAGCCTGTCCTTCGGACGCCTCCACCGCGCTCTTCGCGGTCCCCAACTCCCCTTACCCGCCCCCCGCCCCGCGCCGCGACCCCTTCACTGCAGAAAGCGCCAGCAAATCCCTGCAGCTCCCGCCGGCTGCGCTGGCTCCCTCGGCGCCTCGCGAGTCGCCCGAGCGGCCGCGGAGGGCAAGCGCAGAGCCGCCGCCGCCGCGGGGTCGGAGGGTGCCCGGCGGGTCTCAGCGCTGCCGGGCCCGGGCAGCCGCCGTTGCCGCTGCTCCCGCGGCTGCTGCTGCTGGCGGTGGCGGCTCCTGAAGCTGCTGCTCGGGCTCTGGCTGCTGGGTTCGCGGTGGCTGCTCGGTCCCGGACTTTGCTTTCTTGTGCTCCACGCCGACCCGCTGGACCATTCTGCCCCCGCGCAGCGCGCCTCTCTCACTCCCGGGACCTGGGGACTCCGCTCTGTGTGTGTGCAGCGGGCAGCGGCCGCAGCAGCTCCTTGATTCAATAGATGAGATGGAAGAAGAAAAAAAAGAACTCTCTCCATTTGGAGAAAGAGGAGGAGGAGGGGAGGGGGTGGAGGGGGAGAGAGCGAGCGAAAGAGAAAAAGGCTGGAGCTCCCGCCCCCGGGGCTGTCAGATGGCTTGGGTTTCTGCGACGCGATTGGCTCGCGGAGGGCAGAAATTACTCAGCAAACATGACTATTATTAGCTGCTTAGCAACAGCTCACCAAAGTAGAGAGACCACCCAGGTAGGCAACCCCAGTGTGTGCATCCCCGGCTTCGGGGGGAGCCTCCGAGAGCGCCAACCTTCTCGCATGCAATACTTCCATTAAGGAATGCTCCCCCCTCCTTTCTTTCTTATTCCTTTTCTTTTCAACAGTGTCTTCTTTTTGTGAGTCGCCTTTTGCGCGCACACACGCGCGCGCGCGCACACACACGAGCATTTGCCTCGCGATAGACACGGGGGGATATGTAATATTTTTTTAAGCGCTTAAACAATTTCTGAAATTCCTCAAAGAAAACCCTTTCAGAGGCACCTTGGCCTCAAGCTGTAGAAAATACTGGGAGGTCCGGCTTGAATTCCCAGGCCTGCACCAATAATGACAGGGTGGTGGATAGTGCGCCAGTGTGTGCCAGATTTTTTTTTTTTCCCTCTCTCCTCTCTTTTATAACTAAACACAAGACTTAGGCTCTCGCAGGGAACAACGCCTCGCATTAAGATAAACAAAATGGAAAGTTAAAGAGGAAAGTAAGAACTTTGAGAAAAGCCACCCTTTAAAAAAAATCCGTTTCACCGCCCCCCCAGCCCCCCAGAAAAACTCCCACGACAACACAGTGCTGGTTTGAAGGAGTCAGTGTTCTATAAACGTGGAATCCAGACACTGAAACAGTCTTAGGGAAGCAGAAGAGTTTTAATTTGAATCTTTAATGTGATATTAGTAAAAGAAACAACAGAAACTTTTTTTAACAACCCTGATAAATGGAATGTTTCCTTAACAACAACAAAAAAAAGTCCTGATTATTTTGGATAAGTCTGAGCCCATTATACTAACTGCGTCCTTATAAAAAGTCAGTTTTAAGCTTTTTTAAAAAAAATCGGTATGCATCCTGTTACATTTAATAGTAGCGTGACGTAGGAGAGAATAAAGGCTTTGATGTCAGATTCATTCGAAACAAATTGTGCGCAGATAGCAAGAATTTGTCCAGAAACCGCGTCTACTGTCACCAAGATATCCCAGGGACTCGTTTTCCGTTGAGGAAAAAAACTCGCGCGGTCTCTTGGATTGGGTCCTGGGGTCAAAGACAAATTAAACTGTCTACACAGCTACGCTCTTTATTTTAGGGAAAAAAAATTATAGTGGAATGTGTTTTCTTACGTTTCCAAATTAAGTTCCTCCCTGAAGTAGGCACCAGATTCACAAGCCCAGGATTCTGTCTCATTTTAGTATTTTTCTTTCTTTCTTTTTTTTCCTTTACGGAGTTGAACTGTAGAGGGAATCGCGGTAGCGAGAAGCCGCCTGAAGCCGTGAAATGGGGCAGTGTGGCTTTAAGATGCACACGGTCTGTGTTCATTGAAAAAAAAAGAAGAAAGAAAGGAAAGAAAGAAACCCAGATGGAGGGAAAGGGGGAGGAGCGGGGAGAAGGCGGAGCCCAGGCGGCCACGTGACCTCGGGCCAAGCTGCCCGTGCGCGCGCGCGTGTTCGGGTGCGTCCGCATGCGCGCGCCGGGTTCGGGGACTCGCTGCGCCCGCGCGGCCCGGGCCAAGCAGGTAGGAAGGTTGGTGCGCTGGGCCCGCGGCGGGAGGGCTCCTAGCTTTCTGCGCGGCCTCCGGGAGCCCCAGCGAGGCGCGCGCCCTGCCGGCGCGGACGGACGTGCCGGACGCGCCGTAGTACATTCCTGAAGGCGGACCGGCCCCCTTACGTTGCCCAATGCCCGCGCGGCCTCCCGCCGCCGGCCAATGACTGCGCGCACGGGGCCTTCCCATTCAGCCGGCCCGCGTCGCCGCTGCGGCCCGCTAGGGGCTGAGGCTGGGCGCGCCGGCCACCGGGGCGGTGCACGCGGCTGCCGCAGGGGGCCGGTCCGCCAGCCCTCCCCGCGGCCTCCTTCCTCCCCGGCGGTTCCCGGATCCCTGCTTCCTTCCCCTCGCTCCTGCTGCTCGCTTTCCACTGCTTTCTCTTCCTCATCCACCTCTTCCCTCCCTGCCTAGCCTCGCCACTTTCCCTTTGGCTTTTCCCTCTTCCTGGTTTTATTGGGAGGCCCTGCTCCCCGAATTCTGAGCCGGCAAACGTGTGTGGTACCGGGAGAAGAGGGACAAAGAGGGCAGAAGCATTTGGGGGTGTTTACGGGATCAGGAGGAGGACCCTAGTACCCGGCCAGCGCGGAAATTCAAAACTCACAACTCCCAAGCAGCACGTGATTTTTGTGAGCGGCTCTGGTAAGAGCTGCTAAAAATCCATAAGAAAAGACAAGCACGGTGCAAGGAAAATGGCACTACTTTAATAAATAATAGCGCAGGAAAACTGGGCTCGAGACATAGCTAGTTTAATCTTGGAGTAAAACCCTGGTCTTTATTATGTTTGCTAAATAGCATAAAACAGGAAAAGTGGTTTGTTAGCTTTTGCTGAGCAGACATTTCAAGTCAAACCATTTCGTGCTTGCTGCTGGAAGTTGTTTAGACTGGGGGGGAGCGGTTATCCCTAGTTTAACTTGTCAGCCTGTTTTTATTTTTTGAGGCTTGCTGACCATAAACACGTTGTTCTGGTTCTTTTTTAAGTTTCAGTATTAGCTCCTCTCCACTCAATCATTTACTTACAGGAGTTTCACGATAACTGCTTGGATTATGGAATTCTGGAGTAAAATTATAGGCTATGTACACGTAATGGCCCCGTATCACTGTGCACGCAGCTGCAGAGCCTCTGGATCTGACCGCCTGTGCACCATTTCAATGGCAAAGGCTCTTCCACTCGGGCTCATTTCCCTCAGTTTGACTTAATTCCTAAATGTTTTGAACATTGATCCCCGAGGTTTTCAGCGCCCTGAGCCCCTCGCCTGCTGTTTGATAGGTTAACTTTTCAGCATCTCAGACAATGGTCTCGGCCTGTAAACTCTACCCATTGGTTCCAGGACGCAATCCCCAGCCTCGCTCTAACAAGCGCTATCTTAATCTCCCCACCCCCCACCCGCCGCTTCCCCTGTGGTCTGCTTTTTTCATACACAGAGATGAATTACTTTGAGGATCTAATTGGCCTTGTTTCTGTAACGTTTTAAGAAAGGGAAGAGGAGCCAGTGTAAAAGCCTGCTCGACTTGGGTGGTCAGGGCTGAGGCTGCCCCCAATTTGCCTCATTGCTGATGCATGCGAGTGCCACATTCCCAGCGATAATGTTGTTCCTAATCAATCTGCCCTTATTTACATTTGTAAGCATTGTCGGCTTTAATATGCATGCCCTGTGCAGGGGACTGCTGAGCCACACCGGGTTTGTTAACTTCCAACTAACCACAAGGATTCCACAGACCTGAGATGAGGCTGATTGGAGGAGCCAGGCCTGCTAAGGTGTCTGCTGGGAGTACAGTCCCTTTAATGGCCCTTCTGCCTGGAGGCTCCCCTTGTGAGAGTTACCAAATAAGTGAGAGCTTAGGGCCTTATCAAGCAGCAGGGTTGCCAGCCTCTGAGAAGCAAGAGCAAGTGTTCCAGCTCCCTTTTCAAGTAAAGTTCATGTCAATGAATAAACTGACATATTTTTTTTTTCTCCCCATCAGGGCCCACGATTTCTCATTGGTGTCTGTAGATTTCAAAACAGATTCCTTCAACTCTCTGAATTCTCACGTCCCCACCCTTCTCTCTTCCAATGCTTCCAATAGCCATGGCCATGCCACACACATCTCAAAAATGACATCAGATCATCCAAATGAGAAGATGAAATAAAACATCTGCCCTTTGTATGGGGATGTTCCGACGATAAGCATCATGAGAGCCAGACTTGGTGGAGTTGAGAAGCCACAGTGAGATTTAACTTCCCACTGGTTTCTCAGATCAAACCAAATGAGTCTTTAAAATCCAATGTAATTTAGCTAATTTCTACAGAATATAAATGAATGAAGAGGTAAATTATTCCAGTAATTTATATTCACCTCTTTATACTCAAAGGCCATTTATAATTTTGTCCACTGAGTTGAAAACTCTATTCCAGAAATCTAAAGAATCACAACATGACATTACACTCTACGTATTCTTGAGAGGGTAGGATGGAGGGAGGAATTAGGGACTTGATGTACTATTCTGTCTATGCATGGGGAGCCCAGAATATGGGATGTGAGTGATGGGCCAGGGCCTGAGCAGTTTAAAGCAGGTACCTGGGGTAAGAGTTGAGTCTTGACTCAATTCAAGCCAATATGCCACCATCCACCACAGTTTCTTGGCTCCCTAAGAATGCCTTGTTGTGTTTTCACTGGCAGCTTTTGTATTTACTTAAAAGGGGCTGGTTAAAAAAATGAGTCTAAAAGATTTCAGGGAGGAGGAGGAAAGAAATCCAGCGGCCACAAAATGTAAAACCACTGGCTGGCCTCCCC